TAAATTGACTCGTCTCTCACTGAAATTCTCAACTGATGTCTCCTTTATTAACTGGGTGTAGTCAATCCTACAAAATTATAATAAAAACAATTAATCATTATACATGCATGATACTTTAAAGTTTCTAGCTCTGATTTTAAGGAGGCATTTTCTTTCTTCAACACCTAAAAAGAAATAAAGAATCTCTCTTAGCTATAAATCAATGTACTTCACAAGAAGAGCAAGTTCCATGTGACTGAGCATATTTACTGTGAGAAGACATGACAATGATTACATATACGGTAGTTTACAGAGATAACACAAAATACCTAACTAAGCCCCGCCTCTATTTACGTTGCCATACCAACCGCAAAATCTAGAACAGATTGGAGAGAGAGAGAGAGATGAGTGTTAGGACTTACAATCCTTCAGTTCGTGTAGGAAACTGGAACGAGGACTTGTGCCTCGAAGAAGTGAAAGTTCCAAATAATAGAAGCTCTAATGATGTAGTATTTTTTTATTTAAATAGGATTTATTGAAGGATTTTCTTGATAAGAAGGAAAAAGGTGAATTACATATACAGAAAGCCCATAATCTCCTTCAGACAGTCCTTAAAAAATTAATTTTTTCACAATTCTTTATTTATAAATATGCATAAAATTACTGAATGCTACTTGAATTATTCTTTCTATCTTAATGTTAGGTTGAGTTGTCTCCACTCTCAACTGAGTGATGGCTACCTCAGGATTGGTGATAAAGTTAACTTGAAGCACATACCAACTAATAGTGTGGTATCTGCTTTCGTGTCAGCTTTACAATCACATGAAGCCACTCAACTAATGCCAGGTATAAGAAGCACTGTATAGCTCCAAATTTTTGTGAGTCAAAATCTCAATTTCCTATTAAAATTAAGGCCACTCCAACTAAATTTGTAGTTTCTCCTTGCCGCCCACTCGCCAAGTCAAATTCAGTTTACATTCTCAAATTGTCTCATATACAGAAAGTTATAGTTATTGATTTGAGGTTTAATTTATCTTTATATTATTGATAACATTCCATGAAACATACCTACATACATATACCAAGATCACAATAAAAATAATTATGCACATCCAATACTGTAAACCCACCATCCACTATTCAGCTTTGTGGTTACTTTGATGTGCTGTCAACTCTGTTGCCTGAATTAGAACTCAGTTATATTTCAGGCAACAGAGTTGCCATAAGATCAAAGTAACCACAAAGTTGCTTTCAACAAAGTTGAATAGTGGATGGTGGGCTTTAAGGCATAATACTTATGATTAACTTAAATTGTAATTAATTTTAGTCCCCACACAATACTAATACTCACCTAATAATGATAATAATGAGCTGTAAGATCTGTAGAGAGAGAGAGAGAAAGAGAGAGAGAGAGTGGGGGGGGGGAGGGAGAGAAAGAAAGAAAAAAGCTTAATAAAATTAGTTCAAAATATGACACTTTAAAATTAATTGGTGGTCTTTTGATCACCACAACATAAACTTTCTACAACATATGTACATGTATATGCATCAGAAAATGTAATAAAAATGGATAATTCTCACGTAGTCATTTTTGACAAAAATTGGCCAACGGCCCTGTACTAGGGACTTCGGCCCCATTTTAGAGGAACTTTAAAAAATTTGTAAAAAATCCAATTTTGATCGGAATCAGCTCAAACTTTCTATACAGCATAAGTACATGTATATGCATAAAAAAAATGTAATAAAAATGGAGAATTCTCACCTTGTCATTTTTGAAAAAATTTGGCCAACAACCCAGTACTTATTAGTACAGTGACTTTGGCCCCATTTTAAAGTAACTTTAAAAAAATTCTTAAAAAATCCTATTGTGATCAGAATTAGCTATATAACATAAGTATATGTATATGCATCAGAAAATTTACTAGAAATGGAGAATTCTCCCCTAGTCATTTTGATAAAATTTTTGAGTAAATTTAAATATTTGTAAAAATCTAATTTTGATCGGAATCCATTTAAACTCTCTACACAACATCAGTACATGTATATGTATCAGATAAAATCATAAAAATAGAGAATTCTCACTTCATCATTTTTAGCATGGTCCAATTTTTTAGTAACTTTAAAACTTCATAAAAAATCCAATTTTGATCAGAATCAGTTCAAACTTTATACAACATAATCACACGCATGTAAGTGTATCAGATAAAATTATTATAAAGAATCTTCATCTTTTAAATTTTGGAAAAATTCAACTCAATTTTTGAGTAGCTTAAAATGTTCATAAAAATCCGATTTTATGATCAAAATCCAATCAAGCTTTCTGCATAACATACACATAAGTACATGTACATGTATCACTAAATTCTTTCCCAGTAAGCACACAATACATTGGCACATGTACTCATCAGTACTCACTATTTCTCTAAGTGATATATTATCTTTGTTAGATAAAGAGTCCAATATCATTGTGAGTGGCTTTGATAATCCACCAGTATACGCACTAAAGGCAGAGCAACATCTTCTCTGGGACATGAGAGAGAGAGAGGGGCCGGGAAAATAGGAGAGAGATAAAAGGTTTTTACTTTTTTAAGCCTTAGACTTAAGGAAAAGTATAGTAGTCTTTCAATTTATAAAAAAACGAATTAACTCACCAAACTAACTTAAATTTGCTGTTAAACAACCATTTAAATTGCCTATATATGTTATACAACCAAGAGTACTTATGTACTCTTGATATTACAACCCTTATCATGTATAACTGCTCCTAGCTACTTTTAATCCTTTATCATAGTGGCTGTGTGGGTGGCTTACTTCCTGTATCACGTCACCC